TCCTCGCCATCCCCCCCACCCCCCGCTCCCCGCCTCCCCAGCCCGACTGCGGCCCGGGACGGGAGCCGAGGGGGCACCCCGCGCCCCGACCCGCCCCAGCCGATCACCTATTGGGCGGACGGAGCGCCGCTTGGGTCGCCATTGGCTCAGCGCGCTGTCGCTTAGGGCAGAACCGGGAGGGGCGGGGTCTGCGCGCAAGGAGCTGCCATCTTGAGTGTGGCGCACCGGGGAGGGAGCCTGGAGTGGGGCGAGGACTGCCATACTGTGAGTGGCGGAACTGGCTGGAGAGGGGTGTGGGGGGGCTGCCCCTTGGTCCTGCACCCCCAGTGCAATGCACCCCCGGGGGCAGAACTGGGCACTGCAAAAAGGGGGGGCAGCCTTCTGTGGCCTCCCAGACACCCCAATGGCAGCCTGTCACTCGTCCCCCATTCAGCTGATCGCACCCGCTTACTGTGATCCCCGCTTGGCCTCCTCCCCAGTGCACCCACAGAGCCCCACGCCCAAACCGCCCACCCGGGCCTGCGGCACACCGGGCAGCCAGACGCGCAGGGCGTGCTGAAATGGCGGCAGCGGCACCAGGCTGGACTCGAGGCGCCCGGCGGGCAGCCACGTGTCGGTGCCAGCCCCGTCGCGAGAGGGGAGCAGCCTGGAGAAGAGGATCTCCCACCACGGCCGGGTCCCAGCGCGTCCCGTGTTTCTGGGGCAGTGGCAGAGGCTTTCTACACCACTGCGCGCCGGGCAGCCTCCATGCCGGATTGGCATGACGGGGTTTATCAGATGCTCAGATAACACATTAAGAAAAGCCAGAAAAAAATAATCGACTTGGCAGCTTATCTCCTACCCTGGCGTTTTTCAATCAGGGCAGTACTTGGGGCGCACCTAACCCCGCTGGATCAGCTCAACCGCCTGCCGCTGGCGTGGGCTGGCAGATGTTAACCCATTGCACGTGCACCCTGCTTGCTCCTCTCTCCGGAGGCAGCCAGTTCACCAGCCTTTGGGCAAGGAGCAGTGAGCCAAGCCTGCCTGCTGGGGCTGCTGATGCCTCAGATGAGACCTCCAGCCTCCCATGCCTCCCCAGCCCCTCCCCAGGCTCTGCTGCAGCCCAACATGACGTCTTTGGTCTGCTTATCATTTGAAGGGAGGTTGTAAACATGCTGGAGCACTGACATTTCGGCCGTGCACAGCTATTAAAGGAGCTTTATTCCTGTTCCCAGCTAGCCCTGAAATTAGAGGCACAGCAGGGGGAAGCCTGAGAGTGCACTGCAGCATGGGACAAGCCCAAATCAGGTGTGACTCATCACTGGAGACCAATTAACACTTGCAGCTCTTCCCAAACAGGGATGAGTCCAGCTCTGACTCCTGGCAATGAGGTTTCCTTCCTGTTGTGGCAATGGGAAATGGAGGCAGGGCTGGCCGTAGCCACCCATGGGGACTTGCTGGCTGCAGTGTGGCTGCGACCCCTCTGCTCCCCAGCGAGACCAAGGCAGGCTGGGGAGTTACGGTGGTTTTGGAGAGTGCAGGCAGGCACCAGCTGCAGTGACCATTTCCCGACACTAGAGCGACGTGAGCTGTTGAGATGACTTGAATCCTCCAGGGGAGATTCCAGCTACAACCTAGAAACCTAGAAACCCCGCTAAGCTAAACTGTCAGCTGGCATAAATCCATGTCGATCTGAAGAGGGAATCCACTGCTATAAGCTCGGCGGGGGGGGAGCTGCTAAGAAGGTACCCTCGCGTCTGGGCGGGGGGGGGGGGGGGGGGGTCTGGCTTGAGGATGGCGCTGGCCAACTTGCCAGTCCTCCAAGCCCGGAGCAACCCTCTTCCTCTGGCCAAGAGCCACGAGCTGCACCACATCCTGCTCCCCAGGGCAGGGTGAGAGCTGGCATGAGATGGCAATAGCCCTTCAGAGGGTCCCCCTGCTCCATCGCCCCTCTGGTATGGCTGGGGACAGGAAAAACAGAGTGAAAAAAACACTGAGGCTTTCCCACCATTGGTCCCAAACTTGGCTTCAGGTGTCCTGGCATCGCTGGCCCTGCCCTGCCAGGACTCCCAGCAGTGCAAATGCAGAAAGGGTCAACAGCAGGACCGTGGCTGCAACGCGCAGGGGAAAAGCAGTTTTAGGGTCCTGTGGCACATCATGTTACAAGCATTGCCATGCTCCTGAGCGTGCCAGAGGCACCTTGGACCCAAATACAGCCCAGGCTGCTACAGGTACCTTTCTGAAAGTGCTCAAAGGAGTTTTGGATGTAGGGTAAGAGCAGCTTGACTTAAGGAGCTTAAGAAAAGCAGGGAGCAGAGATGTCTCCTTGTGGCTTCTTCCCACTCCCAACAGGAGTGACATCTTTTCGTTTCATGTGCTTATCTATTCTTTTAATTGCGCATTAACAAGAGATCTAATAATGCCCAGGGAACAGATGCACAAGTTTGAACACATTTTCCCACTTTTCCGCTGACCTCTTAATTATTTCAGAGCTCTTGTGCAGCTTTTTAGCTGTACCTACATGTGGTTGGAGACATTATCCTCTGCCTGTTGCAGCTTGGGCAGAAGCAAACCTGCTGTGGATACAGCTTGGCCCTTCAAGAAGTACGTTTTGGGTTTGGCTGTGCTCTCTGTAGGAGCAGAGTGGTTAATGCCAGAAAGCCCTTTGGCTGCAGACCCTGTGTCTCCACTTGGGCACGCGGCTGATGCGGGGATGCTGCTGCCCTCAGGGATCTGACACGTATCCCTGGCTGGAGGGACAAGCACGGACCATCTGCTGGGCCATGGGGCTCTCCGAGCAGCCACGTCATATGGCTGGTTAGAAACATGCTTGTCCCACCGAGGGATATTCATCAGCAAGCAGAGAGTCTGGACGCAGCTGGTTGAGGGCGGGGACTTTAGCCCAGGACTTGGGCTAAACTCTGGGGCTCCTTCCTCCTCCAAAACCAGGCTGCCGCAAACTCAAGCTGCTCTTCTTTGGGGTGGGAGAGGCCTCGTGGCAGACGCAGGTTAGCATCATGAAAACGCTGCCTGGCCAAGACGACAAACAGCACCCATGGGTAAAGGAAGGGCCACCCAGTGTCATCCCCCCAGTCTCCCCAATGGGATGAGAGTCACCATGAGCACAGCACTGTCATCTCCCTTTGTCACTTGCCTCGGGACCATTCACAGCCCCAAGAGCCTCTTGGGGAAGGCTGTATGGGATGCCCAAGGGTTTCAGGGCTTGTGCCAGCCCTCGCAGAGCCTCACAGCTCTTCCTCCTTCTCCTGGCCCCTGTGCTGATGCTCACCCTGGTGCCCGATCAGACACAGAGCCTGCACCTCTCCCTTTCAAGGCAGGCGTGAGATCCACATACCAGCCCTGCCCAAGGAAGCAGACACCCAGAGACCAGCCAAAGCAGAACCCACAGCTGTTTTTTAAAAATCACCGTGTTTTATTTTTCAACCCTCCTCTCTGTCATTTGCAGTGTTGCTGTTCAGAGGCCGAGTTAACGCCCCGACGGCTTTGTGACTCCTGTGTCTCCTTCCCCCTGTCCAAGGGGGCCCAGAGTTGACTGTCCCCCAAGGTCCTTGGTCCTACTGTGGGGACAGTGAGATGCAGGACAAGGGTGACGGCTGGCTCTCATGCTCAGAGGAATGGGTAGAATGCAAAAATTAGAGCTTAAAAACAATTAGCTATTTCTCTCCTGGATTGTGGCAATCGCAAAATGAATAAAACCTGAACCTGAGAGCAAGGAAAGCATGGTCCAAGCATTGGTCCCTGGACTTTGGTGTGCTCCCTGTGCAGAGGGGACAGGTTCCTTCCAGCCTGGCAAGGCGTGATCCAGCTCTTGGTAAGAGGCCACTGTGGTGGTTTAAGGCAGCAACGTGGTTTGGTTCCTGGTACGATGGCAGGGCACCTGCTTTCGGAGGTAGGGCTGTGCTTTGAGCCCCAAGGGAGAGAGCCTGATGCCTTGTGGGGCCAAGCCCAGTGATTGCGCAAGGCTCAGACAGGCTGGGCAGATCCTCCTGCGCAGGGCAGGAGGAAGGCATGGGAAGCGCAGCCATCACCCAGGGCAAGAGGGACGTGGGGAGGCAGGGACATGGCCAGTAGCCAGATGGGGGAAGGCTCAGGACAAGCCAAAGTGCTGCAAGCTGGGCACGCAGAGCCAGATCCTGCCTCTCCAGGGGAAGGAGGCAGCAGAGACAGTGCTGGGCTGGGGGGCAGATCTGGCTGGACCATGCCTCTGAGCCCTGCTCAGGGGATGGTGGGCTGGTGGTGGCAAGGGGCCGGAGGCGTGCGATGGCTCCCGAGGTAGTCTCTGTTCACAGTCCCTTGTTAAAATAGACGTACAGCACTTTGTCCCCGTGCTTGGCCATGATGCTGTCACGCAGCTCTGGCTCGAGGTCAGCCACCGCAAGGGAGCTGTGGGGAGACAGAATAGACACTGAGACCCACAGTCCTCCTCCCTGACCACTGGTCAGACCACGCTCCCTTCCCATTGCTATTCGAGGTCCCCTAAAGTCCCTGGCATCTTGCAGGCTCACATTAAGACCCACCACTCATCCCTGGCATCCACGGCTCCCAGTAATGGGGGGCAGAGAGCTGCCCATGGGGCTGGGGGTCCCATTGCTCCCAGCACAGAGCCCGCAGAGCAGGGGAGGCACACACTCTCCTACTGCCTGGGGCACCAGCGTGTACAGACAGGCGCTGCCTCGGGTTGAAGGGTGGGTGCCTGTCATGCTTCTCCTGGGATGGGCAGAGAAGAGCAAGGGGGGAGGAAGGCTCCCGAGGTCCCGCACAGGAGGGGGAAATAGCAGGACAGGTACCATCTCTGCGGGAACAGGGCGCAGGCTGCCGGCACCATGAACAAGAGGCTGTGGGACAGAGAAGAGCTGAGCGTTAGTGTTGGGGATCGCAGTTCATTTGCCTCCCGGCTGCAGGGATCTCAGCCCAAGAGGTGCTGCTCACGCCCCACAACTCCCAATAACTGGGGAAAGCCCAGGCTGAAAGGGAAGCAGCTTTGCAATCCCCTGCTGGGAAAGAGGTCTTTTTTCTGGGCTGATTTCAGGCACCCCTCAGAGCCACACTCTGGGCACCCAGGGGCTTTCGAGCAGCGAGATACTTACAAGCCCCCGCACAGCAGCACCTGCAGAGGCCCGTGGAGAACTCGGATCCGCTGCAAGGGAAGAGCCATGAGTGAGTTCCCAGCCTCACCACAAGCCCCACTCACGGTGTGGGGAGACTTCTCCCCTCCACAAGGCTGAATGCCCAACACCTCCGGGGTGCCACTGACCCCTGCCACCCTCCCGCAGCCTCTCCATGTCACCTGAGAGACCTTTGGTGTACCGGTGACTCAAATAGGGGGCAAAGCAAGCCAGGCTCTGCAACCCTCCCATTTCATTCCCAGCATCTTGGCAGCTGGGGAGCAGGGCTGGGGCACCACAGGACTCACTGGAAAACCGTGGCAGGAGAAACATGGGCTCACCTGCATGAAGGGGAATTTCTCCAGCCGCTCCATGATGATGGGCAAAATGACTAGGTGCAGAAAGAAGAGGTCAGGGCCCCCCAACAAGCCAGCCCACATGGCTGCCCCAGCAGGACGTTCCTCCTGGAGGCCATGGCAGCGGCTGGTTGTGTTGGGGGCTGCTGGGTGTTTGCTCACGGCAGGGATCTGGCTTGGGACCCCCATCTATCCATTGTCCAGGCAGCACGGTCTGTACTCCTCGTGCTCCCATCCCTCCTGCTGGGCTTGCGGCACGGCAAGGGTCTCACAAGGGCAAGGGAATGTGGGGCTGTGGGGTGAGGAGTCAGGGCCAGAGAGTGCGAGAGGTGTCCTCATGGGGCCTGACCACCACGGGAGCACCCCACGTCCCCCACGGGCTGTGGGTTGGGATGGGGAGGGCTGGGAGCTCGGGAGGCTCTGATGGGAATGGCAGGATGGGGGGACCAGCTCCATCAGTGAGATGAGACCAAACGCCACCTGGGATCCAGGGCCACCCTCCCTCTTCTTCCCAGGGGGAAACTGAGGCAGGGGAGCATGACGTGGCAGGTCCTGGGGGAGCCCTGGTCTGGCCCCCAACCCTCCCACCCCGCACTCACTCATGCCTGGTGCCGCCATGGTGATCCTGGAAACCACAACCTGCGCGATGCCCTTCGCCGCCGCCCTCTGCAAGCAAGAGCAGTGGGTGAGCCCCCACCGCATCGTGCCCCAACCTGGACACCCATCCCGAGACTCACCCTGGAGTGGCCGAGCTCGTTGTTGTCCCCGTCTGTCACTATCACCCCATTGATGATCTCCCTGGAGGGGACAGGCAGTGGTGAGTGGTGGCCAGGATGGCCGAGGAGTCTCGAGTAGGACACAGCAATGGGGTGAAGTGGTGCCAAGGGGTCCCCCATGCTGTGCTGGTACAGCAGCCCCAGCTGACACCAGTCCTGGCCCCAGGGCACAGGGCTTCACTGCCCCGGGGTGCCACAGTCCCCAGCCCAGCCGATGCTGCCATCTTCAGGGCATGGCTGCAAACAGGGCCCGGCTGTCCGGGGGACAGACACCCGCCTGGGACCTGCAGCCAAACCAGGGGACAGTCCCTGGGCACAGCACCGCACCTCCCCATTGCCATGACCCATGGGGGATCCCAAGCAGCAGGCACAGGTCTGCACACGGGCCCCATCTAGGGGGTCCCAGCGCCAGGACATCGTGGACTGGGGCTCTCCCACGATCACACGCAGAAGACCTTTGGGTCTGAGGGATCTTGCAGCCCAGACCCCAAAATGGCTATCCTCATCCCCAAATCCCCCTCCTCCTCCAAGGCTGAGCCACCCCATCCTGCACCCTCCACCAGAGACCTGGAACCACAAATGTGCAGACCCCACATCACTTCCCTCCCATCCTCCCATCCCCTCCAGCCCCCGGGACAGGGAACCGCGGCAGGGCGCCCAGGCAGCCCGGGACCGCGGCTGCCACCAGCTCGCCTTCGGAGGGAGCTGGGTCCCCCGAGCCCCCCAGCCACACGTGGCACTTACTGTTGCCGCATCATGGGGATATTGACACAGTTGGCAGCAGCCACAGCTGCAAAGGGGACCCAGCGGGCCAGCAAGGGGGGGGCTCGCTGCAGGAGACAGGCTAGCGTCAGGGCGGGAGGGCAGGATGCAGCCAGCTGCCCCAACCAGCCCCATCCCGGCGTACCTTGGTGTAGAGGTTGAGTCCCACTGCAGTGGCCAGGGCTGTACTGGTGGCCGTGACGTAAGCCACCCCCATTTGCCTGGACAGTGATTTGCAAAGAAAAGAAACACCAACTCATCAATCCTGTTGCTTTGGTGCCCAAGATGGGGAACAGGGGGTCTTTATGGGGCATCGGGGGGTCCCGACACAGAGGGTCCCTGTCCCACGCGGGAGCACACTCACCTCAGTGAGATGGGGGAGGCAGCATTGCGGTTGGTGTAGTTGACGATGGCGTTGAAGGACTGGTTCACCCACTGCCAGAAAACCACGGCAGGCACTGTCCTGTGGAAAGAAGGGATCGGGAGAGCACCCGAGGTCTGTCAGGGACACCTGGCCTGTGCCTGTGGCCAGGCTTGGCAGAGGGACAACCCAGATGGCCTTGATACCCTTGTGTCTCCCGGGGAAACTGAGGCACTGTGGGCAAAGCCACAAGCCAGTGGCAGAGCTGGGAAATGACTCCAGGAGTCCTGGCTGCCACGGGGCTTTGGGGAACACAGGAGGGAACCCAGCCCTGAGGGGTGCTTGGCCAGGGGTGGGAGACTCAGCTCCCAGCAGGGCAGCAGCCATCCTGCTGGGCTAAGATAAGCCTTTGTCAATGGGAGCAGGAAGGAGGGGGCACATGGGGACAGAGGCAGCTCTGGGGGTGACCAGGATGCTTGGGCTCCCACCAGTGCCTCAGGGACACTGAGGTGTGGCAGGAGGGGACACGGGGAGATGTGGGTCTGAGCAAGCTTTGGGATGCAGGAGGCTGGAGATGGGCTGGGAAGACCCATCAGCACTGAGAGTTCCCTCACCCATGCTGGACCTCGCCAGCAACCAGCAAACCAATCTGGCAAACAGGGGTGGGATGGGACGGGGATCCACTGGGAAAGGCAGTGTCTGTCCCACATGTCCTCTGTGCTGAGGACAGGATTGCTCACCCGCCCCCAGCAGCCATTTCAGAAGGAAAATGCAGGGTGCTGTCAGCATGGGCCGGGGATGCTGGAGCAGCCTGGCCTGGGGGCACGTTTGGTCCTCAGTTTCGGAGGCCGTTATGGTCCATGGCACAAGAGCAGCAGCCACACAGGACTTGGCCGCATTAATCATTACAGGGGCTCCAGGAAGAGCTGAGCTGAGCTAAGCCAAGCTCAGCGTGAAGCGAGACTGTCCCCAGCCATGCCTGGGGCTGGGAGGATCCGTGATGCTTCCACCACAGGCTGGGTGCTGGGGACAGGGCATGGGGACACAAGGCTTGTCCACAGCACAGAGGCAGGGGCAGCAGCCATGGGCATGCCTCGGGCAGCAGCCAGCCCAAGAGGAGGCAGACCGGCTGTGCCCCAGCCCTCCGAGACCCCTTGAGGGGCTGGGGGCTGTGAGGGCTGCATCCTCATCCAGGCCTCCCCAGGGGCTCACCGGTAGAACTGGAGCATGCAGCCGGTGAGGGCCATGCCCCCTGGCACCTGGAAGGACATCCTCCCGATGAGGTTCATCTTCTCACCGCTGTCGGGGTGGAAGGCCGAGTCGTATAGCTTCTTGGCGTAGAGCAGCTGCTCCTCGCTGCTTCCCGGCGGCACCAGCCCGGCCCTGCAAGCCCAGAGCCCGTCAGGGGGTGCCGCGCAGCCCCAGGCTCCAAACATGAAAGGCGGAGGAAACGTCTCCCACAAGGGAAACTTGTCCCAGCTTGATGCTCCCAGGAGAAGCCTGGGAAACTCCCCCAAAACCGCCTCCGACAGATGTTACGTTCCAGTGCTCCCACTGGGAAACGACTGCCTCCGACCCCCCGTGGCCCCGCAGGGTGGTCAGGTATGGCCGCGGGCACGGGGATGGCACCTGCCCCCGCTGCACCTGGGCCGCTCACCTGCAGCCTTCCACCAGGGCCTTGGCCCGGTCCAGCTCCTCCTCCGGCACCAGCACCGTCCGCGGGTCGGTGATGTTGAGGAAATGCTTCAGGCGCCCCATGAAGGTGCTCTGGTCCCAGCGCGGGGCATCGATGTTGAAGCCAAGGGGGATGGTGGCCATTTTAGCACAGGTCTGGGCAGGGGGAGAAGGCGGCTCGGGAGGATCCTGTCGCGATTGCCCGTTGAGTGCGAGCCTGCCACAGCCACAGGAGCGGTTAACTGGGTGAGAGCGGTGGCAGGTTTATATTTAACGGGAAAGTTGGACTTTCAGCAGCCCTGAGCCCCGGAGCCTCCTGCACCCCTGCTGCTCGCCGAATGCTGCAGCAAGGTCGCTCCTTCACATGCCGCCCTGCCTGCATGGGGTCCCCCCACCTGCACTGCCCCCCCCAGCGCCTGGCACCCCCTCCTTGGGGTGGGACCGTGCTGCGCAGCACTGCGGGGCCCAGCTCGCCCCCTCGGCAGGGCTGTGCAGCACTGCCCTGCGAGTGCTCCCCACCGGGGCATTACACTGCGCCCCCCACCCGTGTGCACAGGGCACGGCACTGCATCCCTCTGTGTCCCCCAGTGGCACTGCATGCCCCCATGGCAGGGCACTGCACCCTCCCATGCCTGCGCTGCGTGCCCCCCAGCGCGCTGCCTGGACCCGCTGTGGCAGTGCACCCTCCTGGGCCTGCACTGCACAGCCCCACCGATAACTGCATCCCCGGCGGCACTGCGCCGCGCTGTCCCGTGGCACTGCATGGCACTGCACCCGCACACCACCCCACCACACTGCACTGCACCGCACACTGCTCGTAGCACTGCACACTGCCCCGCGGCACTGCCCTGCGTTGCACACCGCCCCGCGGCACTGCACGGCGCGGCACGGCACGGCA